GTCGATGGCTATCCATAGCGAGATACAGGCCGCTATGCCGATAAAGATAGTTCCTAATATTGTAAGGGACAGAGGCGTATGGTAAGTTGTCATTTCATGATCCATTTCTTCGTTAAGTGCAGCTGACTGCTAACAGCCGTTCGTTATCCTAAAGGTGAGGGGGTTCAAACTGAAACTGAGCGTCAACTCATTATCGGGTATATATTTGAGAATTTGGAGATACAAGAGTCATTTTTTGGATACGCGCTAATTTCTGGGTAGGAGTTAAGGTCTATGACGCAATTGAAACTGGAGCGGAACTAAACACACCGCCAATAAGTATGACGTCATGTACGAATTCATCAACGCTGCCATTCAATATCATTGTTCCGGGAAATCATTTCTTGAAGAAAAGGTCCTGTAACGTACAAAGTTAGACAACTGGCGCATTGCATGAATATAAAGGACTCGAGCTTAACGCACTTTAAACCTTGATGCTTCCAACTACAGTATAGGTCCCAGTTTCGGGATCTATAGGACTCGCGGCACATAATTGAATTTCATCCACAAAACATGTGCCGAAATTGGGCCTTTGAGACGTTGGGCTTTGGCTACTTGGAGCAGGTGAATCTTGTGTGGCAGGGTCCAAAGCCTTGTACGGCTCCGATTCAAAGAGTCCACGTGTTGAGAACCCATATCGTTCGGACCACCTTGTACGGCTGGTACCATGCCCATTCGATTTCTTTACCTTTCTGTGAGATGTATTAATGAGCGTACAATGTATCTATGGATTAGAAGAGGTCAATCAATAAACTCGATGCACCAGTGGCTAGTATAGTGAGACGCACCTTTAAAGATCGATTGTCAGCGATGAATCCCTCCTCCTTGAAAGTGTCGTGGACGATTGCTAGAAGCGGTGGCTTAATGTAGCACTTGAAAGCTTAACTATGTATATGTACTGGCGACTCGTTCCAATATAGTTTGGTCAGGTCCAGAGCTCGGCTCAGGTCCAATCCACAGTATATGGGCGGTATCATTCTTGTCTTTTTTTAGTGTCCCCATCGTATCCAGATTGACAGGTATACCCCCCGTCTCATTAGCGCCATTTCCTCCCGGCTCCGAAACTTCAGTTCCCTTGACTATTCTGACTACTTCGGATCGAAGACTGTTGAGAAGATCCAGTGCCTGTTGTACTGTTTTGGTGTCTTCTTGATCCGCCGCATTTGTGTCATTGGATTTCTCCAAATGCAAGAGTCCTAACGTGATATGTAGGCGTGCAGGTTCGATGATGATCGTCTCATCTAAACCCTCGATAGGAGGATCTGCAGCAAGTAACGCATTGGTGAATCGCTGCACCCTGTCCTGTAGGGCGATGTTCTGTCCCTGTATATGAGGGATAGGGTCAACCTATATAGTACGGCAACGATCATTCAGAGAGGAAAAGATTACACATACAATAGGTAAAGATAACACTGTTGCTCGATATTCAGAGGATTCGTCGCTAACCGTGATCAGATGGGCTCACTATGCGTCGGGGGGAGGTTTCCCTGTTGCCTCCCACTTCCCTCCATGATGGAATCAGCTTCTCTCTCTTTGCGAAAATATATTTTGACGTTATTGGTGAGCATGACCCCGCATATATCATCGAAAAAGAATCTCACCTTTAGATCAAATGTGACTGTGTTTACGGGAAATCAGTCTCGAGCCTGTATTATGGATCCGCTCGGTTGAAAGTCACCAAAAACTGTTGATTGTACGATTGCTCTAGATAAGGGTCTGGTTGGGTCCAAGCTTGGCTCGGTTGCTGCACCAGTTATGAGTCACGTCACGCGAGGGTTCAATTGGACGACTCTCTGTCGTATGTCCAGATACAACCCTTCTTACGAGCTCAATTCCTCAAGTCTCATTGTCAAATCCAGCGGAAAACTCGTGTATTATGGTCATCCGAAAGTCATTGGGAGATAAATATTGGCTAACGGCACGATCCACATGGGAGCTTGACCATGTCAGATGAAACACATAGAATACTCGGTTTTAAATCTACGTGAATGGGAAGATGAGCGTCGCTGAGAATGACTCGTCAAGAGCGAGCAATGTCAAGGTCCTATATGGAGCAGGGAAGTTCAAACTTGGACCATAAACCAAGTATCAAGTTGATAGTCGAACCACTGGTATCCATTATACGAGAGTTATTCTATGGACCCGAGCGAACTCTGGGTATGAACTAAACTCTATGCTTCGAGTGCTTCGGAGCTGGCAGTGGATCCACGGCGTCCATTGACTACGCCACACCACCAGATGTCGACGTCACATGGTAAGTCATCGAGGCCACCAATTCAATATTGGTGCTTAGGTGAATCCTAGTGTGGGGAGAGGATCCTATGAGGATAAGGTTAGACCACTAGGTTATCACGTGGAAAGAAACCGTTCAAGTTTGACTTACATCAAATCTTGGCGCCTTCAAAGGAAATATATGCGCTCGTATCGGGAGGTCTAGAACCGATAGGATAGAACTAGAATCCACCCACACTCCACGTGCCAAAGTTGCGTCGTCGACGAGACATCATTATTAGAGCTGGCGTTCTTGGTAGTGTGAGGAAGACCACACAACAAGGACTTGCACGTATACAATCCAAAGATTCCAGGTCTTGTGAACTCATATTATGCGGCTCCTTTTCTTCGAACCCCACCACGTCGATCCCTTGTAAGATTGAGGCCTCCTGACGGACGCACAATGTAGCTACAGATCAGATAGAGCTACTCAGCAATCTTATATTTGTTAAAATTGGTGATGAATACCTTCAAAGGTTGAATCTCCTTAGCGAGCCCCTCGTCTAGAGATGCGATTGACTCTTATCGACAATGGCTTTCAGTCAACCATTTGACCTCCTGCACCTGCTCCCATCAAATAGGCGGATTGGTGTCTGTGTTATCATTATGTACTGTCATCAGATTGCTTCAAAGGCATTGCCCCTAAAGGTGATGTGTAATCATGCAAGGTCAAATATAGCTGTCTAGGAGAGAGACTTGATAGACCAAATGATAGTAACGGTGAAGCTTTCCATAGGGTGGGTGTCGTGGCGGCCTTTCCATGAACGGCACCATTTTATTATGGCGACGGTCATTCAGAGAGAGAAAGCTATACGAGTCGGGTATAAAATACTATTCATTAACATATTTGGAGGTTCCGTGGGCAATGATCATCAGAATGACTCACAATGGGTTGGACGATGTTGTTTTCCACCTCCTTTTTCTGTGCTGCTCACGGTCTCTCGGTGTATCTTTCCCTCTACTGGTCCCAATTAAGTCGTTTATTCCCTCCTGAGTATCAATTCAACGTAGCGTTATTCGTGGAAACTGGCCTACATGCACTGTCAAAGAACAGGCCTAGGACGAGTGGGAGCCCGCCAACGTCCACATCCACGTCCACGGCCTCAATCCAGTCTATAGATGGTATTACGATATCTTCTCGATTGATAGTCACTACTGGTCATTGATCGTGAAATGTGTCTGGACAAGGGTATGGCTGAATCCAAGTTTGATTCGGTCGCCGCGCCGGTCACGTGTCACCCGAGGATCCATTGGACGTTTTTCTCTGTAATATGCCCGGCTAGGGTCTTCTTATAGAGATCAGTCACTCAAGTCCAAAATCAAAGTTGATAGGTGTCTCATGTAGCATTGTCGAAGTACAGAGAACAAGGGTAACCGGAAAGATAATATTGACGGACAT